TCTTTTATCAATCCTCAAACAGCAAATAATGATTGCCCATTAATACTGCCAAACCATCAGCAAAATCCTACCTCATTGCCTTTCTTAAATGGTTTTCAGATGTACAATTTATTCAGAATGAAAGTCTTTCTGAACATAAAGTCTAACCTAAGCCCTGGAGGCTGTCTTGCTTTAATCCACACATGTGCAAGTTTAACTCTTTCAAGCCTGGCACATTTTTCAGATCCTGAGCAATAACCTTCATGCTGCAGCCGATGTGTTTGTTGATAGAGAGATCTAATACTTCAAGGTTTGGGATCACATTTAGAATTTCAGCTGTGAAAAACAGAAAAGAAAATCAGAATTGGTAATTGCCTGGAACATATACAGATGAAGCCTAGAAAAATATAGCACCATGACAAACAGGAAGAGGTAGGGTGGGTTTGCCTATATGTGGGTTTAGGCTTACTAAGTTCCTGTTCTACCTAAAAAATACAGCAAAACAAAGTTTGCATGAGAATCAAGAAAAACCAATGAAAAATATGTAGGAAAACAATGGTGAAAAAATACAAGGAAAGTTAGAAAAATATAGAGGAATAAAAAGCAGGAATATAAAGAGAAAGAAAAATGTCTAATTAAAAGATATAGGACTGTATGTTGTATACAGCTGACCCCTGCAGTGGAGATGAGAGCATAGGAAGTTCTCTTTAGGGAGGAAATATCTTCTAAAACACAGAATCAGATCAAAAGACCACACAGGATTAAACTATGGTGAGAGGAAAGAGGGGAGGGGTGATCAGTGTTTGCCAACTCAGCCTAAATTCCCATCCCTCAGGCCTTCTTTCCCATCCCATGGCTAACTGCATATTCAGCTGCTTAATTTCAAGCAATCAATGTTGGAAATTCTGGCACACATGAATTCCTCAGGGTCTCAAAGGATCCAGCAACCCTGGACTGCTGAGGCAGCCAGACTGTGATTTAGATCTAGCTATTCTTCTCAACGCTACCTCACATGATGAGAGAGAACAACTTTCTTCTTTGGACAAAAATGCATTAAATCCCAATACTGTGAAGTAAACACTACCATAATGCAGAGCCTGAAATAATTTAACTCTCAACTAATATTGAGCTCAATACAACCATAATCTAAGTCAAACAAGTTACATTTTTGTGAAGCCAGTCTCTCAGTCAGCTATGTGGACACACATACCAAGGGATTCTCCATCCTTTGCCGTCAGGTTACAGTCTGTAATTTTCAGAAGTTTTATCTTGCATCCTTTCTGGAGTTTTTTTGTCAAGAGTGATAGTTTTCCACCTATGTTACCGTTCCATGATAAATCCAGTTCTTCAAGTTGAGGAACAAGTTCAAATGCCTCTCCTGTAACAGACATCTAAGATGATTCATTCTAGGTATCAATTTTGGTGCAAGACAAAAATACAGGTTTTGAATATATCAAAGAGGAAGGTTAGACACTTAATTCTCAAATGATTGTGTTTTGTATGGCTTGCCAGGAAAATTAGTGTATGCCATGAATTGTTGCTACTGCAGCAATGCTGTATAAATTCTCACCTTGTCAAATGAGCAATATATAATCACAAGTCATTGTCACAGCACACACAGACTGCTTGGCCATCATTGTAGACTTGTGCCAGGACCCTGAAAGTCTGGTCTATAGGGAAATCAATACAAGTGACAAGTCTGAATTTACTGTCCTGTATAGTTCTGCTCTATTTTATTTGGCAAACTTCCAACGTCCTCGGTATTGCATCCATAGGTCATTTTGGAAGAGGTGAAAGATGCCCTCTCATATCTATTCCTGCAACTTAAAAGTTTAATTTCTGACAGGAATTCCTGACGCACTCCATAAGTAATTAAGATGAGCATTGTTTTGACCCAAACTAACTTTCCCATGATTTCAAGTCAGCATTGATTTCGATTATATTCAGAAAAATTAATCTATTCTGTGCTTGACACACCTGCCAACGTGAACTGTGTTAGTGCTTCTTTGTAATACTAACATCCCAGTGCAAAATCCAGCTTCCTGACTTCCTTTGTAGAGGAGAACGGCAAATGTATATTTGCATAAACCCATTCCCAAGAAAGATCAATTAATCAGACCATATGCAAATGCAATTTCAAAGTGTCATACACAAATTTTTGATCTAAAAATCTCATCATCAACCTAATTGAGAATTGTATTTTAATAATAAAACCCTTTCATGTCTGTGTGTTTTCATAATTCATTCTTCACAAAAGATTTCTAACAGAAAAATAATTCTTTCTGTTGTTTTCATTGAATATCCAGGTTTGACAGAAAAAAGACATGTCTTAATTTTTATTTTTACATTTATTTTAAATTATTGCCTCAGTCTTGAATCCTGAGCAATGCACTACAGTTAAGAGCTGGTTTTGCCTCTGCCTGTTTCTGTTTGACATGGAGACTAGCATTCCAGACACATTTTCCACTCAGAAGACAAATAAAGGACTATAACTCCAGGAATGGTTTCCTACCACCCCTCACAGTCACAGCTCTGAACAACCACATAGAGACGCTGATATTATGGTTGTATTTGAGGCATTGATTTCCAAAAAGAACGCGCTGAGTCCACAAGTGGCCACATTTCCACAGATAGATGTGGACATAATCAAAGAGGCAGCATTGGCCTAAATACACATACTGTTTTCAAAATCACAGGCAAAAATCAAAGCAAACTGACTGTTGCTATTCCACATGTCAAGGCCATCACATTTTGACAGGAAATTCAAGTCCTATGATCAATTTTGTGTCTGGCTTAGCAGAGGCCAAGTCAGAAGGGGGAAGGAAACAGCACAGAACAACCAGGCAGAATAAATCAATTGGAAATATAATGAATAAAACTCAAAAGAAAGAAGTATAAAAAAGGGTTTGAAAAAAAATGAAATAAATTTGAGAAAAATCTGATAGAAAATGAAACACAGATTTTAGCCTCATCAGAAACAGATCAATTACTTTCACCAGCTTTTGTAGAGACACATTTTTCCTCCCCAGCAGATAGTATGACCCACTTTTGAGCTACCACTATATATGTAATTTTATTTGATCTTTTCCTGCAAAGATCCTGTATGTGAATGACACAAAATCCAGCTTTATAACTCAGACTGGTTTTTAGAACTTGAAAAATAAGCAGCATTTTTTTTAGAATTCCTAGTTGATTGAGTTTGCCCTTTTTAGACTCAGATCACAGACCCACCTCAGAGTAAACTCCAGGCCCAGAGGTGACTCAGCGTGAGAACCCAAGTGCATACCACCACCTTTAAAACCTTTAAATCTCATGCTTTGCAGAAAGCAGCATTGCAGGCACTCCAAGCAAAGAAGTGCACATAGGAATAAGCTTCTCTCCGACTTGCAAAAACAAGTTATAAAGTTCCAAGGCAGCACTTGTTTTAAGTCTCCTCCAAAAGACCATCCTTTTTTTTTTTTGTGCTGAGCCCTGCATCTGTCCTGCAGCACAAAGACCTAAGCTGACCGTATTATGACTAATTCAGTTTGTTTCAGTTCTTCTGTCTACCATTAGATAGGAAAGTTAGCTAAAAAAATACTGATCTAAATTGAAAACATGTTTTCCTGCAAATAGGACTGAATTCAGTTCCCTTCTGAATGCGAAACCTTCATCTCCTGAGGAATAAACTCGGCACAGCTACTCAAATGTATAAGATCACTCATAAGCCCAAGTTCTTTCTACTGTTTCACAGCAGGAGTTTACATTGCCCAGTGTGGAAGCAGCAGAGGTAGGATGCAGGAAGAGATGAGCTGGATTACACGAGACCCAAGCTGTCTGGAAGTAAATGTAAGTGAAATCCTGTACCTAAGGAGGTGACATCCTCAGCTGTCAGCCTGCAGTTGTTAAGTCGAAGGACTTTTAACAGGTTCACGTGATGAAGATTAACAGTGAGAGCTTTCAAAGTCCCACCAACAAAACCGTTCCAGGACAGGCTGATCTCTTCCAACTCTGGGAGAAACTGCAATAAAGAAGCTGTAAAAAAAAAAAAAAGAAAAAGAAAAAGAGAGACACAAGAAAAAGCATATTCTGTTTGGTTATTATCTGCACACCCTGAATGTCAATACGTCTTAATACAGAGATGCTTTCTACAACCAATACAGCATTATAAAGCCATGACAATTTTTCTACTTCAGTTTTCTTATCTGTATTTTGAGTGATATTCATCTGCTTCACAGACCTGTATGATCTTTATATATATTACATAATTTATATAATTAACATTTCTCAGGGACCTGGGACCACCAGATGAAATGTTAAATAAAGCCAAGCCCATGTAAAAAAAAAAGGGAAGGGAAAAGGGGAGAGTGAATAATGGAATAGGCAAATAAGAATTAAAGAAATGTATGAAGCGACTAGTTGAATAAAATGTGTATTTACCCATCTCTGATACATCTGCTGCAGTTAACGCACAATTATTTAGATCCAGATTACTGCTGTTGGGGTTCCTT